AGGGTTGAACAAAGTGACAGCAGCATTTTGTCGAGTGGCCCAGTCTCACCTCCTGCTGTGGACATCCTGGCCACATGCTCTCAGCTTTGGGTCACAGCATTCCTTTTTGGTGTGCTTTATAAAGCACCCATTTAAGCATAAAAAAGGCCCAGAGGAAAATTTCATAGTCCTTATTTACGCTTAAGGTAAAACTATTTACATTTCCTTAGTCACTGAATGTTATTGGCTTTAAAAGCCAAGAATCTATTATATGAGAAATAATAAATACTTCAGAATACAATAAAGCAGCTTCATTAGGCCTTAAAATGTGGCAACTTTAATTTTATTTTTTTCTACTAGACTAAAAATCCATATTTAAAATCCCATCCTACAATCAGTACAATCTGTTATGGTAAATTTTCATGAAAACATGAGAATTATAATATCTGAGCCTGATTTTGAATCATATATTAAAAACATTAAATGATACATTAGCTGTGGATATTAAATTCCTATCACCTAGATATTATCTTAATGTGAAGACATTGAACAGACAGCCAAGAACCAAATGGCAGATTTACCAAGACCTATGTGACCTTAGGAAATTGACTTCATTCTTCTGGTACCTGAGTTTCATTATCTGCAAAATGGTGACAATATTTTTCAAGGATTTTGGAAGTATTCCATAAGAAAGTACATGACATCAAATTTACTAATGATGCCTTTCTATATTTTTATAAAATTTAAGAAATAATTTTATTGTGTAAGAATTTTAATTCTCTTCTCTCTCTCCTACTGGACTCCTGGAGCTCTGCCTGGTGTCTGGCTGTGGATCTCTGCATCTGCCTCCGTTAGTCACTGGAGAAAAGCTCTGTGATGACTGTTAGGGTATTCACTGATCTGATCACTGGGGCAAGCCAGTTCAGTTCAGGCACCCTCTCCACTATTTCTAGTAGTACAAGCTGGGGTTATCCTTGGGGATTCCTGGCAATTTTCCTAGCAAAGGGTTTCTCTCCATCCCCATGATATCTCCCAACAAGGGAGTCTATGAGCAAGTGCATCAGGATCATGATGAGGAAACCTGTAGGGATGACCAAACCAAATGAGTGGGAACTCATGAAAGTTGGATCATCAGCTATGGATCCTGCATGGGAATGGACTAGGCCCTCTGCATGGCGAGACAATTGTGTAGCTTGATCTGCTTGCCCCCCCACCCCCGGCAGTAGAATCAGAATCCATCCCTGGTGCATGAGCAGGCTTTTTGGAACCCACTACCTATGATGGGACACCTTGTGCAGCCTTGAAGCAGGGGGAAGGGCTTGGACTTGCCTCTACTGGATGTGCCTCCCCATGGGAGGCCTTGCCTTCTTGTGGGGGGGGAGTGAGGGGTGGGTTAGGGGGAAGGCTAGGGGGGATGGGAGGAGGAAAGAGAAGGATCTTTGATTGGTGGGTAAAAAGAATGAAAACATTTTCTTAATAAAAAAAAGTAAAAAAAAAAAATTGATCCTCGATGCAAACATGTGCTGCATAGGAACTATGTTAAACACAGTACTTTATAAACACTATAGGTAATTATCAACTTGAGAGATGGGGTCTCTTCTAGCACAGGCTAGTCTTGAATGCTCTTCATACCTGAGGATGACCTAGAAATCATAACTCTCCTGTCTCTATCTGCCAAGTACTGGAATTTCAGGCATGTGCCGATGTTCAACTATAACAAAATTTTATGAATGTAAAGGTGTGTATATCCTGAACTATGGCATAGCATTCCACAGTGTGACAAATAAAGCTACCACAATGACAATGCAGCTCACTGATGAATATGAATTCTACTTCTAAAATCCTATCAATTTTAGATACGGCCTTTTAGTTTGACTAAAGTTTTTCCAGTACGTTAATCAACTATGAAAAAGGAATGAAGAGTTAGCAGTGAGAAGAAAAATCTGAGTCTGATGCCTGGTTTTATGCTCATCTCTGCAGCTTGGCACATAACAGGAGTTTCAAAAGGTCCCTATTGCCACAGAAAGCCAGTATTAACAGTCCTTCAGAGGAGACACTGCCACCTAGTGAGAACTCAGGCTCATTACCTGGCGTTAGCAATATTAAGAGCTTGTCAGAGACTCGACCCTACTTAGAAAACTACATAAACAGTTAGTATATGTCAGTATCCAGGCTAGGTACTGGTAATACACAAACGAACAAGCCTACATTTTTGCTTCCTACAAGGTATAAAATACCATAGAAACTACACGTTCCATAGAGAAACTAATATGATATAGAAACGTTTTATTATTCAAAAGCTAACATATGAGGTCATTTGCTTATAGATAAATTTAGTGGGCAAATAAGAGTATAGATTTCAAGATCAGTCTACATTGATTCAACTCCCATACCCTGTAAAAATGTGAAAACAACAATATTTATGTCATAAAACCTAGTGAAAAATTTAAATACACACACAAAGTGTTTAAAACATAGCGCTGTAATTATTCTTAAATGTATAGCAACATCATAGAGACAAAGTAGACAAACACTGTTTAATAACAAAACATTTATTGCTGAAGTCTGGCTTCATAAAGTTAATTCAGCAGAAACCGTTTCTCTGCCCAGCACTTTGTTATGGGAATCCTCAATGTACATTACTTGTGGTACTCTGTGACTAAACTTTGTATTACTAGATGATTAACCCTTTCAACAACAGGCAAATAAGACTGCCTTCTGAAAGTAAAAATCATATTTCTTACCCAAAAAAGAGCAAAAAGTCAGTAGAATGAAAGACTCAAAAGACCACAAGCTGAACATATGCTTAAGAGGGAAAGATGCTCACTGCCACTTCACAGATCCTGCTAGAACTGAAAGATGGATGATACATTTAGCTACCACTGTGGTCTCATTTGTAGCTTATTTAACTTACAAAAAAAAATGAACTTGCTTCTTTTTCCTTGAAGATTTCAGAAGCTATTTTAAAGAACTTAGCTGTTCTCTTTGTTTGAACCTCATGTCATTGGGACTTAGGAAAACCACATGTGAACTTCCTTCTCAGAAAATATATGTTTGAGCAAAATATCTGTGTTGAAAAATAAAGTATTGGGCAAAACTGTAATAGATTAAACATTAAAAATTTTAATGAACACTGTAGATTATCTGAACTACTGATTGCAGCCTGTATTCACTAAGTAAACACTTCAGAGACTGAAGTAACTCTCATTTCTGTTGCATCTATACCATTCAAAAGAACAGTGCCAAGTCTTAGATGGCTTGGGGTTATTTAACTTCTTCCTCAGCTTCCCCTTTTTAAAAATAGGCAACAAAGAGTTTGGAAAATGTGTTGAAACATTTTGAGCTTAATTTTCTTTGTAAAGGTGTATTGTACCAAAAACTGTTTAAAATATGTTGCATGAAGTAAACAATTTCATGTGCTGTTCTTCAGATATCATCATTTCTGAGATGCTCACCTTTCCAACCCTTCCTCCTGCACTCTAAGACAATGTAGACATTACATGCTTTTAACCTTCTGTATTTCTTGCTGTAATACAGCTGGCCTGGCATGGCATGAGGGTTAGAAAAGCTGACTAACAGAGTAAAGGGGAGGAAGACCATCTTTTCCAATTCCATTCCACAAAGAGATGCTTACTGGCATGCTAAAGCATAAATTCCTGTAAAGTTACTTAGCTACCGGTAGATGAGCATAAACACAAATATTAATTTTGCTTTCTTCTACTAGAGTGCTTATCATTTTCCAGGGCACCTTGACAGCCACTGTATCCTAGTGTCCTTAGAGCTCCCTTTGGTAGGGCAGGCGCTGTTCCTAGAAATACCTTTCAAGAGATGAAGGAATGGAGGGTCAGAAAGGCAGGAGGCTGCAGCTAAGGTCGCTGAAGTGGGCAGAGGAGGAACCTGAGATCCATGTTACTGTCCAGCTAGGCACCTCCTTCTTTCTGAGGAAAGGAACCTCCTAGCAGTGAAGAGAGGGAAGCTACTTGAAGCCAAAACAGCGGAACTTAACTAATCTTTGCAGTGAGAATTTCAAAAGTCTAAAAAATAAATTATAAACTGAATGAAGACGGTTGTGAAATCTCCTAAGAGTCTGAGGCAATAACTGTGCTCTCCTCTCCTGGACAGTGGTTCCAATTATACAGGAATTCGGTGTAATTCTTTTTGTCTATGGGACACTAGAACACGGTAAATAACTGTTTCAGGATACTTGTTAGAATGAGACATCAGCTTTGGACACTGGGTGACCTGAGAAACCCATTTGCCCTTCTCTGTAATAGGGCAGCAGCATTTTTGCTAACAGTTGCTAGGAAACCTAAATGGTATTCATTGCCTGACAATTCTATCACTAGGTACAGCAATTCATAAATTTGAGTATGAATTGAAGAATCATTACTTCTCTATAAGGATCATTAAGATAAACCTTCATTTTCTGCATTCATTTTTAAGATAATTTATTGGGAAATGTATAATATAATCTGCACCATGAACAAAACCTTCAGGTTTATAACAGCTCAATTGTCTAATGTATCATAGCATTAGATAATTCAACATGTATTAAGAAAGTTATCTTTTGATATTTTTATTAAAGTATGTTTATAGTTTTATATTAATATCACAATGCAATTGTATACTTAAATATATTTAACTATTGTGTATATATATATATAAAACTCTAGCTTATCAAAATACTGAATGATGTTGTATCATAGTCAAATTTAAGCAAAGAGAATAATAAAAACTTCATTTTTAAAATAATATATAAAGCTTATAAAATATCTTTGAGAAATATTGTAAAATTAGAAAAGCAAAATCTTAATTTCAGAAGAGAAAATAAATATTTAAAAAGCAACATAAATCCAAATAATCCTTATAATAACCTATGTCATCTTTTTGGCTCTTTTATATACTATATTCAAAGAGACTATGCTAATTGTAAGAATTATTAATAAATTTTCTAGTGCTCAAGATTTGTGGTCCATTATAAATGCAAACATTACTTCATTTGCATCAAGCAGTGGACTTACCATGGAAATCATAAACATAAAGGAGAACTGGCTCACTCTGCCCAAATGCACAAAATGCAACCATATTTTCAAATGGATGGTAGGATATGTCTCGAATAGTTGACTTGAAGGGCAGGTCCGAATACATTGCTACTTGTTCTCCTAATGAAAAAAGAAATGCAACAACTTGTACTATGTCACACATTTCTCATTCTGAGACTATTCAGGTACCTTGCCTGAAAATACTTATAGCATGAGGCTCACATTATTTACATGAACACCTCAAATACTCCTAGGGATTGAGTACCTTTGTGATGAACAATTATCTCTATTTTGTATTTTATGGGCTTCTTTCTGTGTTTTTTTTTTGTTTTGTTTTGTTTTTGTTTTTTTGGTTTTTCGAGACAGGGTTTCTCTGTGTAGCTTTGCGCCTCTCCTGGAACTCACTTGGTAGCCCAGGCTGGCCTCGAACTCACAGAGATCCGCCTGGCTCTGCCTCCCGAGTGCTGGGATTAAAGGCGTGCGCCGCCACCGCCCGGCCTCTTTCTGTGTTTTAACCCAACCTCTTCAATGTTTTGGGGAACAAAACACACAGGAAGTGTTTTGCTGGAAACAGGTATGTATGACCGAGACCTGAGAAAAGTGTGAAAATTGTGAGTAACCAAGAATTTGGCCAAACCGGGGAGGGATTATAAAACTCTGTAACTGAAGACATTCCCTAGGCAGGGCCGAATTGGCAGGGGCTCAATTTTTCTGTTTTAATTTTTCTCCTACAGGCTGAGGTGCTAACTGCTTAAAAGGTCTATGGTTAGAGCTAGAAGATGCCACAAACAGAAGTTATTGAGATCTAGAAAATCAGCCAGAGTCAAAAGGTACCAGAAATGTTCACGGAAATGTTCTTGTTACTAATCAAACTACATGGTCAATGTTGAACCATGTATCTACCGAGTTACAATTCAACTTACAGAGTTTTGTATTTTGTATTACAGTATTCATAAAATACTTTTCAAGCATCTTCACTATCTTATAGGTACAGAAAGAATAAATCTCAATTTATAATGTGAAATTTTAAATTTACAATGATATTAAAGCAATCACGAACAAATATAATATATATTCAGAATACTGCTGACTTTAACCAAAAGCTATCTGTTGTGGTCTGATATGAATGTCCCCAGTGGGTGCATGTGTTTGAATACTTGACTACTTGTCCCCCTGCTGGTACTATTTCTGAAGGTTCTGAAACCTTTAGGATGTGAAGCCTTCATGGAGTGGGAGGAGGGGGGTCACTGAGGGTGGGCCTTGGAGTTTTCTAGTAGCCCTATTTCCTGTTCCCTAGTCAGCTTCTCTCTCTCTCTGTCTCTCTGTCTCTCTGTATGTGTGTGTGTGTCCCCACCTTATACCTTATCTGAGAGAGGGTCTTTTGCTTGCCTCTTCAGAGGCTAGGACTCTGCCTCCCATTTTGGCATAGGAATGCCAGAATGCAGGTAGGAGTCACTGCTTCTGGGTTTACATGGTTTCTGGGGATTCAAACTCACATGCCCGCACTTCCATGGCAAACACTTATTTTATTTACTGAACAATTTTCTCAGCCCCAACCCTGCTTCCAACGTGCCAATGTCATCAGCGGCCTCCTGCCATTATGTTTTCCTTGCCCTGACACTCCTCTCCCTGGAACTGGAAGCTAAAAACACACCACTCCATCCTCCCATTGCTTCTTGTCAGGGATTTGTTACAGTGACGAGAAACCTAACACGCTACCCGATTTTAAAACACCCAAGTCAGATTTAAAACACGAAGTCAGATTTTTCTTGAAAATACCCAAAACCATAGTTTTCACATACTTTGGACTTTCTATCCCCATTCCCTAAAAGATTTTTTAAGATCAATAAATACTTACCTGTCTCTGGGTTCCAAACATACACTATTCCGTCCTCACTCCCAGAAAAGAGAAAAGTCCCACATGGTGTGAAGGTACTATGGATCTTTTCCCGATAATTTGCGGCACCGACGAATTTCCTGGCTGCTAGTCTATAAATAAGCAAAAAAGTGCAAATATAACCTATCTCAACCAATAAAAGACTAGTGGGAGAGCAATGGCCTTTGTGAATACTGAATTTGCATTAGTAACTAATTTGAGAGGCTATGATATGGCAGGCATTCTGTGATGAAGGCTCTATCAACAAGTTATTTTCATGTTCCTTTCTAATTTGTGTGACACATTTCTTCTTTCCTCTGCTGAATTCTAATAACAATGAGAAGTAAATATAATAAATGCTATCTAGACTTTTTCAGTTAGAGCCAGAGCTGACACTGTTCTCAGTGCTCACAGTGTGTCAGATAACACAGACTGCATTATTACTTCAATGGACTTATGTCATCGCCTAAATATATCTTAAGGAATGGTCTATTGTTGGAAAACATTTAATGTAGTTCTTGGATTCCCCCTCCATGAAAATGGTTTCTTTCCATAAAGGAACCAACTGCAGTACTTATCCTGTTACTACTAAAACACTTACATCCGCAGATCCATGATCCTCAGTGTACTGTCTTTGGTGTGGATTAACAGACGTTTTCCATTGGGATGAACCTCCAAATGACTTATTGGAACTCCCCTAAATTCAGTTTCCTTAATTTCCTAAAATGGTGCCAAAAAGAATAAAGAAAAGGTCAAACTATTGCTACTCAAGTGTCTGTTTACAAAGGACAGAATTAATTTTAAAATGTCATTTTCAGCTGATAATAGTACCTTACCCATATAATACCAGCACTTGGGAGACTGAAGCAGGACTGCCATGAGTTAGAGGCCTATAACCAGTTGCCATGGGCTACAACGTAAGAGCATTTCTCAACAAAACAAAAGAAAAAATGAACCAAAATTCACTTCTACTACACTGAATATTTTAAAGTTATTAGCAACAAGGATTTTTAGCAACTTCAATTTAGATTTAAAAATAAAAAAGACAAACTGTATTATTTGTGTTATATAGTGCCACATTTAATTACATGTTTTACATATTGTCCACTTTCTCAAAGTATCGTCAGTCCTAACAAAAGTACTTCACATACATCTTCTCATGTTGTCTTTCCTGTTCATGTCATGTAAGAAACATGTCACTATTTTATAACTTCAAAACTGACTTGGAAGTTTGCGTGAGATTCAGACTCTTTGCTCATCAACTTCCACCTGCCTTAAGAAGGCATGCTGCAAACATAATGTTTGCATCACATGACTTAGATTGGAATCATTTGGGGAAGGCTTTGACTCCACCATCTTCCTTCCTCCCTTCCTTCCAGTTACTTGTAGCAGCTAGTGAAGATACCCAACTCACAAGGTCATGTGGGGTACCCAGACTGAAGAACCAATCTGCCTGAGCCTTGCACAAGAACTACCCTTACACACAATAAAATCAACATACAGTGAATAAAACATGTATAGGGAAGACCAGAGACTATAAAGCTGTTAGCAACAGAGGGGAAAGCTTCTGGGCATTGGCCTTGGCCATATTTGGTGGGGGAGGGGTTGGGGGAGGTCAATACAAAACGTAGGCCACAAAAGTGTAAGTAAATGGGACTCCATGAAACCAAAAGGCAGGTGGACTACAGACTAAGCAACAGCACAATGGACTATAGCATACACACTTGGAAAATAATTTGTAAATCATCTACCTGGGAAGATTAATCCTTTAACACATAAACTCAGTACCAGGAAAACTAGTAACTTGGATGAAAAATGGGCAACAAAATTAAACAGACATATCTCCACAAAGAACACAAAAATGGCTGAAAATACATGAACAGATGTTCAACATCATTAAGCATTAAGGAAATCCATCCGTCCGTCCATCCATCCATCCATCCATCCATCCATCCATCCCCCATCTATTTTCTCTCCTCTCCAGTATTATTCATCCTCACAAAACAAGAAAATTTTCATTTGCCACAACAAGGATGAGCCTGGACGACATGATAAGTAAGTCAGACACCATGTGAAAAATATTGCAAATACTGAAGTCTCAATTATATGACAAATCTAAAAAAAAAGTCAAATACATAAAAAACTGAGTTATGGAGAAGCAGGAAGCTTTAGGTGAGGACACACTGGATGGTGAACAACTCTGGTTATTTAGTATGCACTATGAAGTCTACCTGCGATGATATTGTACTGAATCATGCAAAACGTACAGATTTTAGCTTCTCTTGTCACAAAACAACTGAAAGGGCAATGGAACATGATGGTTATGTTAATTTGATTCACTATAGTAACAATTTTACTAACTATGTGTACTCTCATAATGGTACTACAACCTTCAATGTACAGAACAAAAATTAAAAAAGTGATTGCCAAAGATCTTTCTTGGTATTGCCACAGGAAGAAAAAAGAGCTGCAGATGCAAAATAACTTAGGTGTCAGCAGGGCTGGTACCAGGCTGAGCAGAGCTGACTCCCCAGATAACCTTGGTTAAAGTCCGAAGAGTCTAAGGAAAGTCCCTTAACCCAGGGCACAATTCTGAATCAGCCTTCTTCTCACTTGAGCTTTGGATTTCTCACCTAGAGGCTTTCCGAGGGACTAACACCAGCAGTGGCAGACAGGCACACCACAGCTGCCTCAAGATGAGTGCCTGAACCCCTGCTGCTGTCCAACTCTAGCATCTATCAACTTTCTTAATGTTACAGAAAACAGCCAAATACCAACACCACAGATGGGAAATTTAGTGAGTAAACTATAACAAACACAAGATGGAGAAGCTGAAGGAGAGCTGAGCAACTAGAAGAGATGCAAAAGGGCAAAATCCAAATAAATGTGGAACAGTGTCGGGTACAAATCTGAGAAACCAGGGGCAGATTGGAGCCAGCTAGTGATTTCCTTCCTCCAAGTTTTTCTGTACCATATCCATGGTCAAACTAAAATGCCCTTGTTTTGGAGTCTATAGAGGCTAGCTGCACACAGCCACTCCATCTTTAGGGGGCAGATGAGTGAGTGTACATGAGCACTCCCCGTACTGCTGGCAGAGCACAGCTGAGTCTGAAGTCAATCTCCAGGTAGCCATGTGCACCACTGAAAAGACATAGCGGCTCATTTCCTACCTTTTTAGTTGTGACTGTTTCAAATAATGCCAACATGTGGATTTTCAAGGAAAACAGCTGTCTGGGTTTAAGACACCTGTTTTAAGGTTTTTAATACTGTTACTACCATGTAAGTCAATACATGGCTGATTTGCCTCAATTTCCTTCATGAAATCTCAAGGTATGAAATGTGGGTCTGTACCTTATTGATTGTCCAGTGGCGCACTGAGTGTTGTAAATCGTTCACTTTCACATAAGTGTCCCAAACAACAATCACCCCGATGCAGTCTCCTGAATACATGTGATGACCTATTAACAACAGCAAATTACTCACTTAAGAATATCGCAGAAGTTAGAAAACGGTATGAAGTTGGGGGAAGCCATAACCCAGACCAACAGTCAAAGCACTGAATTGCCAATGAAAGGCTTTTCAGTTTAAAAGTTAAAAAGTAAAATGCAGTACAATCCCAATTATCTAAAGAAAATTCTTCACTTTTAAAAAGCATTTTGATAGCATTTCTCTTTGTCATTTATCTGAATCTAAATACAAAAAGAAACAAGCAATGTGATCTACACGTATAGCACTCATGTACTCATATTCTAAATTATTTGAATTGCCCAACGTGTATTCATATTTATCATTATTAGCCTATGTAATCTTTTATAGTCCTAGAAAAATACCTGTTCTAATATATACTGTTAACATAATCTTAGTGACCATTAAATTTAAAATGATCAGAGAATTAATAAAATCATAAAAAAGTGTTAACATCAGTCCTTAAAGATTGAATGGGACTCAGAAAACAGGTTTAACATCATGGTCATGCATTACCATCATTGCTAACAAATATGGCTGTTTAGCACTGTGAATTTAATACTTTAAAAATAGTTTGAACTGGTGAATACTGCTATGTATTAGAATGTAAGCAAAAATAAAAATTGTCCTTAATTTATTAGAATCTCTAAAGTTGAACTGAGTATACTGCAGTATTATTATTTTTCTCTGAATATTGTTTTAGATAACTATAATCTCTGAAATAATATAAAAATGACAATTGAAGAGATGATGTATTTCTTTATTCTTTCCAATAAATTCAATAAAAACTTATATGTTGTAATTTTAAAATGTCATTTATACTATTCAAATGCTGAGAACCTTCAATTATTCGTAAATTCCATTCTTTATGTGTTTAAAAAAATCCTGTTGATATATTTAGCACATATATTTATAACACTCTTTTGGGATTTCTCCTACCTCTTTTATTTTGTACCACATAACTTAAAAGGTTCTAAAAGGCAATTACTAAGAATAATAATCACCAACACAAATAAATATATTTACAAAATGTGGTACATGAAGGGTTTTTAGAAAAAAAGGTAACTGAATATAAATATTAGGAACTTAGTAAGTTTAAAGTTATAAATAGAATACCTTCAATGCCTATCCTGTTACTTAAAACTAAACATAACTGTAAATACTCACAAATGTTAACACAAGTCTCTCTCAAGCATCAATTATTAGTGAAAGAAAACAATCTCTTCAAGTAACTATCCGTGACTTAGAGCATATTCTGCAACAAACCTTCATCATCAAAACAGATAGAGTTGACAAAACTCTTGTGAACATCAAGCTGGCGGACTAATACGGGAGCATTTTCTCTCATATCAATTTTCCAGATCCTTATCATAGAATCGTAGCATCCTGTGGCCACCAGCTCTCGTGTAGCTGGATGGAACTTGGCCGTGTAGACGAAAGAAGGATGAGGTAAGACTCGGAATGTACTTGTACTGTTTATCTCATTCTTCCAAACCCTGGAGAAGGATAAACAGCAACAGACTGTTTATCAAATTCAAAACTTTCTTTAACTGTCTTTAGAAGAATATAGCCAATAAAACTTAGGTAAGCAAATGCCAAACAATGGTAAACTAATGTAAATTAATATTTATAATATGATAATGATCACATATTGGATTATCTCACTTTTTTTTACAAAGCCATTTCTCATGAAATATTTTTTATCCATAACTATAACCTATATTAGAAAATTAAAAACGTATTTGCACTTGGACATAATCTGCTATGGATTGGACATAGTTTTGACATTGTGTAAATATACACTGAATAGCTGGTAAAACATTGTTTAACATAATATGCATAAAGTAGGGAAGAGGACTGAAGAGATAGCTCAGAGGTTAAGGGTACTGGTTGCAGTCGGGCGGTGGTGGCACACGCCTTTAATCCCAGCACTCGAGAGGCAGAGGCAGGCAGATCTCTGTGAGTTCGAGGCCAGCCTGGGCTACAGAGTGAGATACAGGAAAGGTGCAAAGCTACACAGAGAAACCCTGTCTCGAAAAAAAAAAAAAAAGAGTACTGGTTGCTCTTGCAGAAGACCCAAGTCCCAAGTTAGGTTCTCAGAGCCCACATGGTGGCTCATAACCATCTGTACTTCCAGTTCTCAGGGATCTAAGACACTCTTCTGACCTCTGCAGGCACCTGGCCTGCATGTGGTGCACATACACACTCAGGTAAAGCACTCAAACACATAATAATTAAATAAATGCATACATAAATACATGAATAAATACTTTTAAAAGATAGGAAGAAACTTTTAATGATTTTTCCATTAGGTTGTATATATGTACTGCTTCTGAAAATGATTCCTAGTAGAGGCCAAGAGAATTAGTGAGCCCAGTAACTTTTAAATTTGTATTTCAAAGTCTAAATAATATATATATATATATATATATATATATATATATATATATATATAGATCTTAAACATCATAATTAGTGATTTATTTTTCAATGTATATGTGTGTGCGCCCATGTGACACAGGTAGGTCCACAGCTTGACAGTGATGTCTTCTTCAATCACTTCTCAACTCTACTTTTTGAGACAGATGCTCACTGATTGGCTAGGCAGGCTGTCCAGAAAACTCCAGGGATCCTTCTGTCTTCTGTTATCACAGATGTGTGCTGCTGTGCCTGGCTATGGTGTACGGGTCCTGGGGATGTGAACTCAGGTCCTTGTGCTTGTATGTAAGCAATTTACCAACTAGTCCATGCCCTACTCTATTTGATTGAAACAGTTATGGCATTTTGACAGAGAACAAGGTCACATCCAGTAAGCACTACCTTTATGCTTACCACCCCACTTCTTTTCCAAATGTGTGTGTGCGTGTATAAAACAGGTGAAATCTAGTAATGTATAGTAGCTCTATGAGTATGAGTCACTGGGTATTTTATATGATGGATTAAGTTATTGGAATAAAAAGAATATATTTGTATTAGGATTTACACTTGATTTTTAAATTGCTGCCTAAGACATAAGTACAAAATTACAAATAAAAGAAAAAATACAGTCAGCTATTCTACAGAGACATTTTGAGTTTTCTCAGCAGCTGATTAAAATATATGTTAAGTACTAAAAGAATAAAATAACAGTGAAGGGATGAAAGAATGTTCTCAAGTGAAAATAAAGCACACATGTCATTGCCAAAACAGTTTTTTGAAAAAAGCAAATTTCAATGAACATATGTTACATGAGATAGAATGGACACAAAAATAACAAAACTGCTAATTTGAAAGGAATATTATGATAGCTAAAAGGTAAAATCCTCAGCTGATTGCTAATAAAGCTTAGTGTTATTATTTGACCTACTATACCTAACAGAATGAAATGAAGACATTCAAAATAACTCATTTATATATATATATATATATTTTAATGAAGCTTTTTTTGTGAAAAAAATTGAACTTGTTAGTTCATTTTTTATGTCAGGGTAGACTCTAACATCAAAAGAAATGTATTAATGGTTTGTAAGATGTATTATGTAAATGTATTAATGATTCATAAAGAACAAGGAGATATAAATTATTAAAGAGTAGATTAAAATGCAAAAAATATCTTTAGACAGGAAAGAAAAAGTACATACTAAAAAATACACTTAAAACAGTATGTGTAAAATGGTACATGACTGGGGACACAGGAGCTTAGTGCAGAGCTATCACATGTGTGTGAAATGGTACGTGACTGGGGACACGGGCCTAGTGCAGAGCTATCACACGTGTGTGAAATGGTACGTGACTGGGGACACAGGAGCCTAGTGCAGAGCTATCACACGTGTGTGAAATGGTACGTGACTGGGGACACAGGAGCCTAGTGCAGAGCTATCACACGTGTGTGAAATGGTACGTGACTGGGGACACGGGCCTAGTGCAGAGCTATCACACGTGTGTGAAATGGTACGTAACTGGGGACACGGGCCTAGTGCAGAGCTATCACACGTGGTTTTGTCTTTCTGTTTGTATTAGAAGCTGCTGACTTGAGAAAAACAGATTATTCTAGAAGCAAGTATAGGAGAAAATAAGCTAAAGCCACATGGCAAGGAGTGAGCAGGTCAAAAGAGTCACCTGGGAAGAACCAGTGAGAACACTGAACATGATTTCAGGAGCACAGTGCAGGAGTCAGAGGCGGCAGATCCACATCTGCCCAGGTGAGCACTGCTGACCTGCTAACTTCCTTCAGCTGGCACGTCTTCATTACTGACACTCTCCCACCTCTTTCAAAGGCCCTTTGCCAGTTTAGTCCTTGCTAGAAGGCTTTTCTCTCCACTCCGCCTTCACAAGACTCTTTATGATCTATAGAGTTCAAACTCATGTCAATTTTAAAGCTGCTTAGAGGAAAACATAATGAAGGATCTCTTATATAAGGATACCCATGGTGAAATCTTAGTTGGTTTAAAAGTTTTAAAATTACATTGTGTGTGCATGTGTGTGTGTGTGTGTGTGTGGAGGGGGTATGCACGTGCCACTGCACACATGTGGAGGTAAGGGGACAATCTGCATGTGTTGGCTGTGTCCTTCCACTATGTGAGTCCCACATATCTTGGGTTTTCAGCCTAGTTGTCTACCTGATGAACTACTGCACCAGCACTCTGGGTTGGATCTTAATTGATTAAGGAGTCCATGCCCATACTGCTTCATTAAGAGAGATGGGTCCATTTCCAGACATTATGGAGACAATCCACATATCCAGTGAAATGTCATCATAACCTGAAGTCGGCAAGTGAAAGATGGAAGATGGGGAAACTGATTCATCTGATGTCTGGACCTGCTGCCGGGGGATGAGAAAAAGGAACCGAAAACCTGAACGATGACTCAGCAGGGATGAGAGCTCAGGCGACTTACAACTCAAACCCTTTGTCACGTCTCAGCAAACTAAGACCTCCTCTCTACTATTATTACCTACCTTCAGAGAGAATGGCTGTGCTGAAAGAGGAAGCCAATACCTTTAGTATAGTTAAGGGAGTAGTAAGTTCCCCAGATGAATAGAGGGAAGTAAATTGTCATTAGTTACCACTCTTCTTCCTTAAATATAAACTAAACAGTGGTGACATACTGATCAACAGTCATTTTACATAGAAAGGGAAGGTGATCAAGGTCAGCAGGAGAAGGAGCCTGGGCACTGGAAATCACATGGCTTATTAAGTAATAACAGGAGGCAGCAGAGAAAGCAAATGAGACTAAAGTTAGCGTGGGTCTCAGAATGATTGCAGTAACAGTTCCCCCCAGGCTGTGGAGAGCGTGTGTCTACCTAATCTAAATCACACAGATAAAGAATCTTGGAAACCTTGTATTTTTAGATCATGAATATACAAGGTTAAACAAGCAGCTATAAGATGTAAATAAAGTTTAAAAATTAGCTTTTAAAATATTTTATTGCGTCAGGCATGATAGCCATGCCTGTAATCCCTGCACGTAGGAGGCAAACAAAGAAAGACTGCACATTTGAGGTCAGCCTGGGCTACAAGTAAGGCTGCGAAAAGAATTTAAAGAACCAGACAATAGATAAAACATTGTATTGTGATACATATTAAATTGAAAGGGGATAACTTAAGACTGACTTCATGAAAATGCAAATATTTAACAACCTATGAAGCTGTAAGGTGCTTAACTGAGTCATCTACTTGGTTTATGCCTACCTACTGAACACCAATGGATCCTACCCTACAATGAAGACAGAATCCTCAGTTACAGGATAGGACAAATCTCAAACACTTCTTGTAAGATATTAATTAGCAGCTTACATATAATCATTTTAAAACAGCAAGGGCCAGACATGATATACATTACACAAATAAAAGACAGTCAAGAGAACTGCTGTCAAGTTTTCCTGCTGTTTAATTGGTCAGTATGCATGATGTTCAGCTATGGTGGTGAGAGGCACAGCCGTCTCTTGATATTCTCTTAGCTCTAAACAACACACACAGTAAGTGCTTCTGTAATGTTTACTAACCTGGCCGTGCCATCAGATGATGAAGTGACGAGAAAGCGATCATCTTTCGACCAGTCCAGGTCGTAAATAATATTGAGATGGCCACACAGTTCTCTCATGAAACGTCCAGAAGGAATTTCATAGACTAACAAAAATATTTAGAAGTTAAATGTCTAGGAGATCTTTAATTCAACAAAAATATAAATACACAATTTAAGATAATTTAGAAAAAGTTAAGCACTATCTGTAAAATTAAAGTAAAAAATATTTGTAATATTAACACAATTTCAAAATATACTCAAGAACTGTTTTCATATGATCTCAAGAGTTTATATAAAGTTTTATATATATTAAATTTTGACAATTGCTTTAATCCCAAGAGTTTACAAGAAATTTTATATAAGTTAAATTTTGATAATATTCTTTAATATGCTATCAATTACTCATATTGCTAGAACCCCCAAAGAACTTTTGATAATCAATGTATTAGTAAAAAGTAAATAACATTTACATTGAAATTCACTTTAAATACTTTATAACTTAAGGTTTCATGAATAAGGTATTACTTTTCTCAAAAATCAATGAAATTCCAAAAATTTTTGGATGTAATGAGAAATGTAAACTATTGCATTGTCAGAAAGAAATTCTAATAGTAAAATGATAGAGAAAAATAATGGAATTAACAGCGAATGAGTTGAACAGACAAAGCAAGACATTTATTATTAGGGCGGATACTCAAGAAAACTGAAACTGAGCACTTAATACAGAACAGCGTCCAAGCCTCTACTGCCACCTAGTGGTGAAATCAACCACCCTTCGGACTACTAACCAGTTCAGAAATGAGGGAGCAAGATCAGGACTTTGGGAAATCTGTAGAAGGAAGAAGACTGGCAAGAGTTCTCAAAAGGTGTTACAGAACTCAGAATTAACCCTGCAAGGCTTGGGAGCGCTGGAGGAGCACTTACCTGAGAAAACGGCTGAACCTCAGTAAGAACATTGAGCTTTGTGTTGTCACAACTATCTAGTTCCTCTTTCCTTTACACTAAAGCAACCTTAAAAACAATGAACACCAGAAGCCTAGAAGCCACTCAGTGATGTAGAAGAGATATGAAGCGCCCTAAAAACTCCAATTCCAAAGCCTCCTTCCTATTTGATGACCTGCCATATCCAAAATAGGACCCAAGGCTTATTTACCATGGCTCTGTACAGGCTTCCTATAAACATCTGACTCGAGTGTGCACGCTGAAACAATCCGTAGCCCCATTAGTGCCATGGCTGTTTAAGAGGGCTACCAGCTGGGCATAAGCAGCAGCTCACTAAAGAACACAAAATCTCAAAACAAGCAGAAGCTGGAATGGGATGGCTATGGAGAACTATGGACAGCTTCACAATATTGCTGAGAATCAGGGTTCCCCACACATGGATGTAAAGGCTACGTGCACAACCCAGAAGAACCTGGAAGACTTTATCGTGTGTGGGTGACCTGAAGCAGCTCAGCACAAACAGGAAGGAAGGCTCGGGGACTTTTCAATTGTGTGCTGAAGCACTGGAAGAATATCCCAGAATAGTGCTCCCTGGTAAAGAGCAGCTCAGACCCATGCCAAGTATCAGCGCCAACTAGCTGACTGGGTACAGTCTGCAAAGGGTTGATGACACAGCAGAGAATAAACTCTTTGCAGAATCCGTCCAGGAGACTCACTCACTGCACAACCAGAGGCAGTAACAAATCTTAGGTGGCTGATGAGAGATTAACGGAAACAGAGCTCTACTGCACTACATTACTCACAGACCCCGTTTTCAACATAAAGTTATGACATAGCAAAAGGCAAACACTCAGGAAAGTATAGCTACACAGGAAGAAAACACAGTTAGCAGACACTGTCTGCACAAAAACTGAGGAAGCCCAGATCTGATCTTTCTTAACAAGATCTTTAAACCAATCACTATCAAGTATGGTCAAAGACTTAAAGAAAACCTAAAGGATTAAAGCTAAGAATGACTCCTCACCAAAAAAGAAAGCATCAGTGAACAAACAGAAATGCCAAGGAGGAGAGCAACAGAAGTGTGAGAGCTGGAAAGCTTGGTCACTGAGAGAAAGAATGAGGAGAACGGCCAACAACAGACCTGAACTGACAGAGGAGTCACTAACTGGATGACAGGTCACCTGAGTCTGTCCAGTTTAAGGACAGAAAGAGGATGAAGAAGAGTGAGTGAGTGTCGGAGATCCAATGGCTAACACTAAGTCTACAAAGACAGGGAAGGTGCAGTCCTCAGAGAAGAAAGAGAAAGGGAGGAATAATGAATGAATACTTCCAAACTTTATGAAAGACATTAATCTGCATTGAGTAAGCTGGGTGAATTCTCAGTCAGACATACTATAATCAAACAGTGCAAAGCCAGAGACATGATTCTTATTTTTTGAGATTTAAATAATAAATAGATAAATTTATAATTATTTAAGCACAGAATAACATTTAACAGAAAAATCTAAAGCATACAAATCACGAGTAATCCTTTCATTATGCAAAAGAGGATAATTACTATTAATATGTTGGAACATGTATCTCATGAATACCATGAACTGTGTGAAGCTAGGTTAAGTCCAATGTGGCCTAATAATCAGGACAGATGCCCATGAAGACCTGGCTTCTTCTAGTCAAGGAGAGTTAACATCATTACTGAGATAAAACAAATTACTAATCCAGAATAGCATAGTCCTGCTTTTAAAATCTCCCAAAGCTACAGAAAAACCATCATGGCCTTTCTGCTGACTTCTTACCACAATGGGATCTTTGAGGTACTGCAGGGTGACCTACTCCAATTCCAGCACACGACAAATAGCTGCATTTTCGTGATTCAGATCATTACAATTATCAACCAAAATCACAATGGACTGAAAGTTTCCCATGAGATTTATTATTCCGTCTTGTACTAAATGTGTATATTTAAAATAGGTAATGTTTACAAAAATCCACCAGTGTGTTAAAAATAACATCTTTCATTCGATCACTCTCATTCTGAATAGGTATTATATAATAACTGTCCCTTTATTTGAAGAAATCTGATTAATTTATTAGGGATTTCTTAAATTAAGATTTTCAGTTAATCTAAAAAGCCAGTATTGACCACACAGAATATAATTATGTTAAATAGGTAGCATTATTCTCACGTATGATCGGATATCCATCTCGGCTGGCACAGGCTGTTGCTAATATCCTTCCATTGTGGGAGAAATCAAGACAGAAACACCCTCGTTCTCCAGCATTTAGTGAGAAGAGGTGTTTGTTTGGGATACGACAAGCCTAAAAAGAATATATTAAAACTATATTAATTAGAAAATATTAAAATAAAATGACCTGATAATTTCCATTACCATACTTTCCCCCTAAAATTCTTTTATTAAAACACATAGGAAAAGAAACGTGTACATAAAATGATGAAAAACTACAGAATATAAATTTTTGAGTACAGAATTGGTTTTCTATAAAATAAATTTATGTCTAATTAACACTTAATTAATCTAAAACACAAAGAAAAAATAAGTATCTAATGCACCAGCACTATCATTGCTAAATTACTGCTTTTATATAGACACAGAAAAAATGTTTTTCACCTTCTTATTCCATGACAGCAGTCACTTTTCCTAAGGTCAGAAACATCTGAAAACTACAAATGCCACAGATGTCCTGGTTTAAATTCCGGATTTATGGATGGCCATTCTTGGTCGGCCTCTCCTAGAATACCCCTCCACTGTCGCTGTCTCTGACTTACCTGTGGTTCTGCTTTCTGAACCTTCAGTTATTTGTGGTCACTGTGCTCTGAAAATATTATGTGGGGAACTCCAGAAACAAGTGATTTATAAGTTTAAATGTGTGCCATTCAAAACAGTGTGTTGGAATTCTGCCATCCCCCACCCTACCCTGAATATGAATTATCTCTTTGCTCATTATAGCAGAGTTATATATTTTACTGGCCATTAGGACTTAGCGGTTGACTAGCTGTCAGACTGACTGTCATGATATTGCGGGGCTTGTGTTCAAGTGATCATTATGCTCACTAATAGTGACGCCAGGCATAAAAAGCAGTGCTGCCAGCCAATTCCAATACACCAAGCTGTAAAGCGCTTCCTTTGAGTGTAAAGATGAGAAGGCCTAGTTCCCGAGTTACTCAAGAGGATGAAGTCAGTACACACTGGGTCCTTCCTGTCTATCATGAACGCTGTACCTCACTACAAATGTCCTTAGACAGACCCATTACAAGAGCCCCATGAACAGTTATTATCGGCTGACAGTAAATCTTAACTACATATAGCTAGTAAAGATCATTCAGATGGTCAAGCCAAGCTGAAGGAAGTTTGAGCCAAGTACACCTTTCCTTCCTTCAGCGGCTTTTCTCAACTCTTTTGTCACAGCAGTGGGAAAATGAACAAATGCAAGCATCTTTAAGCAGCTCACCTGACCAGGCAGACGTTTCCACTTTACCACTTCCTTTGAATCCTCTAGTCCAGGTTCTGTGTCTACTGAACTTGTCTCACGGTGCCGCTCACAATACACTGGTGTACCTTTTTCCTCCTGAAGAGCCATCATAGAGCGGTAAGATGGCTTTATCTACACATGTGTGGAAAAATGAGAAAATGGACATCATGTTCACATGTTAAGCGTGCACAAACACACACAAGCTATGGTGCCCTTGTGGAGGTCAAGCTGTAGGAATCGGTTCACTCCTTCCTCCATGGAGGATCCTGTGGAGGTCATGAAGACTGTCAACAAGTTGTTTCTTATTCTTAACATATAATTGCTTTTAAAGTACTGAGACAGAGCCCAGTGTGGTGGTGCACACCTTTAATCCCAGCATTTGGGAGGCAGAGGCAGGTGGATCTCTGTGAGTTTGAGGTCACCCTGGTCTACAAAGTGAGTTCTAGGACAGCCAGAGCTACACAGTGAAACCCTGTCTTGAATAAAAACAAACAAACAAACAAGACTTCATAAAATTAAAATACTGAGACAAATGGTATGGAACCCTTTTTGAAACACAAGTCAGAAAAAAAATTTTTCAGTTGTATATTACTCCAAGTGAAATAAAAGCTATTTGAACTATTCTCCTATAATCACAAAGCTTTGAAAGTTTGTATAAAAATTAGTACAGTCCAATAGTAAAAATGGCTTTACTTCATTATTCTTATTACAGTATTTGTTTTAGTCTTTCAGACAGGGTCTCAAGTAGCTCAGGCTACCTCAAACATGCTATGTATTTGAAGTGGGCTTTGCATTCCATATTCCACTCCCTATGTGCTGGGATTACAGGCTTGTACCACATTCAGATGCATAAAACATCTTTTTATAGCCCTGTTCCCTTGGGTCTGCTTCTTCATAAACACCCACCTAGTACCATGCTTCTGATATAACATGATATTGCTGGCTTAAAAACAATCACAAAACTGATATCATAAAAAAAATCTAAAATTAAAAAAAATCTACCCTCTGATGGATTTTATTTAGACCAATGCAAGTCAATTGTGTGCTCAGAGCATATAAAACTAGCTATAGAACATACAACTCACCTGAAAGATTAATATAAAAAAAAGACAACAGCATAAGCTTTTCAATCTTAGGATCATTTAGAATGAGAACACTAAAAATGTTCATCTGTAGACAATAGCAGTAGAAATGTTATTTGCTGGTTATTTGAATGTCTCTAGTGTAAAATATGTAAATGAAGATCAGCAAGTAGAGGCCATGTCTGCTTTGGCTCACTACTAGTTAATGTAAATAAAGATGTCCTGGAACACATTAAGGTGTTCTTTATGTCTACGTGTCGCTACAGCTACTATCACACTACAAGGCTGAGTAGTTGTGACGCCTGGCTGCAAAGCCTAAAACAGTTTATTTATTACCCTTTAGAAGAAAATGTTTCCCAGTACCCACTTTTCATCCATTTATTTTTAACTACAAAATACAAAATTATGCCAAAACAGTTTTAACAGTGAAGTCTACTTCTTAAAACTTAAAAGTTCATCTAAGCTTCATTCAATTGTTATAGACTTAACGCATAGTCTTTGCAGGCATCTTTCTGTTACAAAAATCTGTTAAAATAATTCTGAGAGCTTAGATTTTAAATATGGAAAATACCTTAGGTCAACCTTAGTTTTAATAATAGAAGAGATACATTTATATATATACTATTAACTTACACAGTCTGGAACTTTCAGTCCCCGTACGGTTACGTACAATGTTGATGGATAACGATTTCTTGGACACTTGGACCACCATTCAAAAATCTCAACAACATTTGACTGGGATCGAGGCTTAGTAGGTGGGTAGTAGAGCTGAAGACGAAGTTTTGAATTGATGTTTGCATTTCCATTGGCTCCCAGGAGCTTAAAATAAGAATTTGTGTAAAATGTTATCTTTCCTGAGAACACACACATCCAATACAGCAATCACAAAGTCAGAGTCAGAAGCTCGGTTTTAAAAGACTAAAGGAACTCTTTAGATTTATAAAGAAAGAGACCAAGCTAGCAGGAGGCACTTTGAGGTCACTTTGAAAAGTGACTTTGAAGACATTTCCCAATAGTGTTCTTTTCAGTTGTACAACTAGGCAGATGCACTACAGTTGTACTAAAGCATTTACATCACTGAAGCGGATGTCACTTTACAGAAGAAGTCATCAGCAAACACGGGACTGAAACAACTATGATCACATTACTCAACACAAATGCTTTCTGCTTCCTGTCAGGATTTTTTCTCTAGCACTGTTGAAGATGAAGCCTACTGAGGCCTTGCGTGTGCTCTGCAAGCACTCTACTACTAAGATATGCCCTACCCATCCTTCCCCTTTCCATTTTGAAAATAAACTAGTCAGGCTGGTCTTGAAATCTGGAACTCAAGCAGGTTTTGAGCTTGTGAACCCCCTGCCTCAGCCTCCCTAGTGTCTAGAACTACAGAATTACATCAATACTTTCAGTGAATAAAATGGTATACACAAAATCATTTTAAGATATGTTAATTCAAACCATCCACTTTATTTTCCAGTATTTTAGTCCACCTTCTTTGAAAGGGCTATTTAGAAAGCCAATTAAACAAAACAAGATAAGCAGATAAATGGAAAGCCTTAGGAAAAACCTTAAAATCTCAGCAGTTTAAATTAAGGTTTCTTTTCCTGCACAATGACTAACTAGGAAACGTCCTTGTTAGCATGGTGTTTGTTGTGAACTTATGACTTGGAGTAGAAAGTTGGTGTTTCGGTGGCAGTTGTCGGAGTCTGCAGGTGACTAGAACCGGAAGTCCAGGCACTGAGTGTGGGGCACTTAGTAACTGCTACTGGCCACTGCAACTTCAATGAAAGGACAAAGAGCCAAGGAAGACTCAGTGTAGAACTGCCCCAAGGACCTAATGATGGGGACGCCCTACACTTGTGCTGTCACATGAGACTGTGAAGTCCTTCAGTGTGACTGGTGAGACCAAGGAAGTGAATTTTTAATCATATTTCATCTCAATTAATATGAGACAAACCTGCTACGTGTTACTTATGGTTATAAACCCATGAGCCTGGGCAGACAATCCGAGGAAAACTAAGAGACAGGAGGAGAGGTAAGAGATCTGGCAGGATGTTCTAAGCTGGAATGTCCGGTGAGTAATTGTATTCACAAATACGAAGAACAAAAGTGGGTTTAAGAAGAGTGAATTACAGAAGAATCTGTAGATTGGATTACAGTAAAGAGGTGGGGACCAAAACTGAAGGAACAGAATAAACAGGCACCCAAGGAGGTTGCCAAGAAAGCAGATGCAGCAGGGATTTCAAGGGAATAATGTATTAAGTGCATATACGTTTGACAAAATAACAGATGAAGAGTGTTATCTATCAGTTGGCAGACAGAAAACATCAGTGTTGGTTGGGTTGGAGAAGTTTTAGCGGCAGAGATACAATCTGGACTGTGGCATCTTCAAGATGCATCAACAAGGAAGCACACAGGGCCAAGCGCAGTGTATTTCCCTACAGCTTTGGGAAAGGCTGGAGAGGCCATGAGTATCTAAGCGTAGGGACTGATGCTGTGCCGAGGGGAAAGAACAGTTTCGAGCTGAGTAAAAACATCCAGGCTTTAGTATTAGTTTTCCACACTCTGCAGAGGCCTTTGATTATCTCCCAAAGCAGTCAGTGACTTTAAGGAGTTCCCCAGCTCCCAAATCACACTTTAAATAATTCCTTTACTATTCTCTAGACAGTATAGTTTATACTAGCATGTTGCTTAGCCAAGTAAACAGCTCATGCTAAGAACTCCATAATGAGCATGTCATTATGATTATGAATTGTATAATGTAGAGCTCTAATACAAAGGCTTCACTTTTATATGGCTCAAAACAGTCACAAAAACATTCCAGAAGAACTGAAAGTACTCGAGACCAAAAGTATAACTGAAAATTAACATACGGTTTAATGGACCATTACAAAAGTTGAACGTTCCTGAATTCAACAGCACAAATAGTGAGGCATTTACTTTCTTACTTGTTTCATGCCATTTTCTCAACGTTTAACTTTATCTCAATCACTTTCCACTCTTTTTAGTAAATTGTTCAGTAGATATTTACCCCTTTTGTATGCCTGTATGTGCTGGGAGGCAGTGAGCTTGAGAAAATCCAAGGGAATTATGTAATAAAATTAATACAAACATATATATATATATATATATATATATATATATATATATAAAATAACATGCAGCATATACAAAATAAAAACTAAAATTGCTCAAAGAATTAATCCAACAGAAAATACTGGTAACTTTGTGAAGCTTACAGTACAATGAAGGAAAAGACACACAGTCTTACAAATGGGAAACACAAAGACTCCATTTCCCTTTATAGGGTCAGGAATAGACTCAAGAACTCATTTCTTCTAACAATGGTTCAATATGGATGACTTAAAATCCACATAATATTTAAAAGCAAAAAATAAAATGTTCTGACATCTATTGTGTTCTAATTGTAGTTTATGGCTCATATACATAAACTGAACACAAGATGGCAGGAACGTATGCGTCTTTGAGTATAATATCCTCAGGGTCAAGAAATATAAATGGTACACACTGGGCAATCAGTAAGTACTTCAGAGTCTTTTTGGTTTGTTGAGACAGGGTTTCTCTGTGCAGCCCTGGCTGTCCTGGAACTCACTCTGTAGACCACACTGGCCTCAAACTCACAGAGATCTGCCTGCCTTTGCCTCCCAAATGCTGTGATTAAAGGTGTGTGCCACCATGCTCCACTTTTTAAAAAAGTTTTATTTTATGTACATTGGTGTTTGACCTGCATGCATGTCTGTGTGAGAGTGTTGGATCCTCTGGAACAGAAGTTACAAACAGTTGTGAGCTGTCATGAGGGTGCTGGGAATTGAACCCAGATCCTCTGAAAAAGCAGCCAGTACTCTTAACCACTAAGCCATCTCGCCAACCCTATTTTAGACTCTTTTTTTTTTTTTTTTTTTTTTTTTGGTTTTTCGAGACAGGGTTTCTCTGTGTAGCTTTGCGCCTTTCCTGGAACTCACTTGGTAGTCCAGGCTGGCCTCGAACTCACAGAGATCCGCCTGGCTCTGCCTCCCGAGTGCTGGGATTAAAGGCGTGCGCCACCACCGCCCGGCCCTATTTTAGACTCTTAATAAGCCTTACTAAGACTTGAGTTAACAACTCTTTGAGACCAAAATGACTTAGTGAAAAAAAAAACCAATCAACTTTGGAAGACATTATTTTAAATGTATTTAAAAACATATGAAAACATACCTTAAGAAATGCCCAGGCAATTTTCCGAAAGCCACATTCTTGGTTTTTAACTTCAGTGTTATTTTTAATTTCATCCATGCTTAAAAAGTCAAGAATCTGTAAATATATTTTAAAAATTATTTCACAGAATACTAGATTGTCTAAGTTTAATATTCTCTATTGACACAGTATCATCTAGATATTTAAAATGTCCACCTTATAAGGAATAAAAAATATTTCTCATTTACTTACTTTCAAGTTAACTTACCCAACTACTGAGGGTTCATTTGTGATATTAATAAATCCTTTTATTAGGATTTATTTCAAAGCATTAACTACCTCAGATATAATAACTGTACCAGTTAACCCAGTTTTGATTCCTACATATTGTATAAAATACTGAAATGTCACATTTTTAACTCATAAATATACATGGTTGTGTCTTTTTAAAATTACCTCAAATATATTCTAGACACAAATAAACATAGCATAAAATTCTCAAGCTTTGGGGTTGGGGATTTAGCTCAGTGGTAGAGCGCTTGCCTAGCAAGCACAAGGCCCTGGGTTCAGTCCTCAGCTCCGGAAAATAAAAAAATAAAATAAAAATAAAAAAAAAATTCTCAAGTTTTGATCATTTCCTAGGTATCAGAAGACGTGGGTGTCTTCTTTTTTAATTTAATGCTTATTTTAAAAATTTGGGATCCTATTTCTGAATCCTTATTTAGCTAGGTTCCTGAAGTTAGGAATTTCCCTTTGGATATGCTATTATTACACCTCTCAAGGTTTCTTCCCTATCTCCATTCTGCCTGGATATTAAAGATCAAGGACATGTAGGCAATCTGCCATAGGCAGTACTCCAGGTACTTACTTGTTTGAGGATATCACTTTGAACTTAATAAATCTGATTTTTTTTAAAAAAAAGCTCAGTTGGGATAACAGATCTTTCTAGAAGACTGTTTGGGGATCCCCCTGTCTCTCTGTCCTCCATTGCTGTGACTAGAGACACATACCACCGTGCTTCACTTTTGAGTGGATCTTGGGAGTTGAACTCGTATTCATGCTTGTACAGCAGCACTTTACACACTGACCCATCCCCTCACCCCAGCATTTGTTTTATGCAAATGTAACTTTTTTTTTTGTGCATTCTTAAGTACATGTACGCATGGAACTACAAATGCAATACATGCTATTTTGTAAACAATTTTCACACAGAATGAAATGGATATCTATTTTTATGTCAATATATAAACATGAATGTCATTTTGGCTACCTAACTGATCTGTATATATTTTAGTCTCTTAAAGTAATTATAAAAAACACAGCAAAAAGTAGCAAATGGTAAGATTTTATGAAAGTTTCTTGAGATACATTGTATCATTTTAAAATGCATAGCTTTATATAAATTGCACATAACAGAGTCACAGAGGCATCAAAAACAACTCTGTAAAATGAATCATTAGCTCGGGTCCCTCCAAGCTTCTTGTTCCCATCTTAAAATTCTCCAGCTTGGTTATACTGAAGGAGAAGCTCTCTCTACTTCCCTTTCGTTATGGGAAGAGAACACAAGCTAGAAAAAAGTAATGTGACACTTCTGTGTGATTGTGAGAAACAAATTACCTATACAGACAGCTGGAAAAACTGTAGGAAGGTCGCTGTACTTTCCCGATATCCTTCCCAGTTAAGAACCAAGTTAGAATAAGTCAGCTCAAAGTCCGCCTATTCCACAGAGCGTTCTGATTGCTCTGCCCTTCCACTTCTTATCTAAGAAGTTCTTCGCATTTCTGTTAAGCGTTACACTGTATTTGCTAACTGATCTGTATAGGCTTATCCTCTTTTCCAGGTTATATGCTTATAATTAGGTAGTCGGATACAGTTAATGACTTTGCTGTTGTTGTGAGATGGATTCACAATGGAGAACTACAGTCAAATGGATACATTTGTGACTTTAGTTCATAATCATTGGGCTGATGTAAAGATTAAACGACATTCTAGAACAGACCAAATGACTTAACTCCTAGCACTGGGAAGAGGTTAGCAAATATGCCGTTTCTATTTCTATTTCTAAACAGACTTCTCACTGGCATTCACACAGCAGACTGCAACAATAAATTCCAGGTATTAAAGTCTTACACTAGTACATTGTAAAACTATTAAAATCAATAACTTACATTTGTATGATTAAATATTTACTGAAATTTAATTTTCTTTCTTTAATTCATACCTCAAAGAACAGGATGACTTTTGGACAATCATCAAAATCTCGAAGCAAATAGGGAAAATTTTCATTAAATATAATTTGTTCTTCCCACTCTGGAAGTCTTGATTTTAACTTTTTAAAGTCATATGGTTGAGTCATGATAGGAAGAATATAGTCCACATTGTCTTTTTCATAATAAGATGAAACAGGACGTTCACTGTTCAAAGACAAAGTTTCCATTACTACAAATCAGCACATCTTTTAGAGGAATACAAAAAAATACATCCCCCATAAAAGAAGCAGAAATAATAGCTATAATGGCACAAAAGAAAAAATAATGTTCTTTAACCTCTAAAAATTATAATTTTTATTAAAAAATCAAAAGTAATGGTGTCTTACTATGAACTTGTATTACATTTTATTTCTTTGGGTTACATAATTTATTATAAACATAGCAAATAAACAGTATGAATAATCTTTAATGTACAGAGCTAAAATATAGCAACTACTTCAGAAGTTTAAATGAGTTCATGATAAAATTCATAAGAAATGCAAATAAAACTGTAAGAAGAACTCTTTTGCACTGTCCTATCTTCTTTGTGTATATTAACACAACTAATTAAGTGGATGTGTTCATTTCTGTAATAATTTTAATGCTTTCCTCCCAATATCCTTTCAAGCAAATACTTATTTTGAATTAGTAAAACCAGTATAATGATTTATTACTGTTTTCTAAACCTAGACTTTCAAACATGTATTCTCTCTAGAAATAACCTTCGGGAAAAATGTACTCAAGACACATTTGCAGCTCCTCAGCTCTACATAACACATTAATTTCAAAGGAAAAGTAGGAGGTTCAAGATTAGTACACTTACAATATTTACAATGCAAATGTATGACCTAATTAGTAACCTTGATAGACTGTCCACTCAAGATAGATGCATTTCCCCCATTTCTTCTGTAAAGCCTACTGATCAAGATGAGGAACACCTACAACTATAAGCCTGTTCTCTAACACCAACCCACAGCTCTATGCCTGTTAATGTTCAACCATAAAGGGCAGCAAAGAGGATTTCTACTGCAGACAGTTTCAACTTAAAGGTGGTATAATTTTTAAAAAATTACCTATCATCTTTCTTGACATACTGACCGGTATGTTCATCAACCACATGAATTTTTACCATGGGGTGAGAAATCATGAAATCTGATTTAAGCCGATCAGTTCGGTGAATGTAAACTCCCATGACAAGATCATCATCAAGCAAACATTTGGGATAAATTGGGCTGTCTCGGCTTGTTATTTCATGGACACCATCACCGTTCATCTCTTCATTATCAACTGAAACTAAAGCAGGGAAGAGAAATCAGTACTATAATTCTTCTCACAGTGAGGTTTACATAGAATTAATCTTACTTTCAACACTTAAATTAAGTCAGGAACTATAGACTCATCATATAGACCCACAGTCATTAAAAAATGAACACCTGACTCCACATGAACTAAAATACACCAAGCAGTGTATCTTGACTTATTTTAAATTATATCCCTCAGTTTTCAGAACAAAGTTTCTAGAGTCAAGCCACCCCACAAAGGCACATAATTTTCATTTAACTTGGATAACAAACCCGCTTTGGTCTTCTTTTTGGTCTTTTTGGGTTTGGGTTTTTTCTTCTCTGGTACACTGTTATCTGCATTCTGTTCTGTTGAACATTTTTCCTCATCATGGTGAGATCCTGAAGTAACAGTTTCAAGGGGACATTCTTTCTTTTCTTCACCTTCAACTGTATTATCACAGACATCTGATGTACTGCAAGTATAACCCAAGAAGGAGCCATTAAAATGTATTATTTTATAATTATTACTCATGGTATAACAGAGTGAATGGAAAATAGAAGCAAGAATGATGTATCATTTTCCTTTCAAAACTAGCACTATTTGATATTTTCTTATATAACGAAATTGCTGTCAAACCAAGAATCACAGATAATACTTTATACCTGATGAAGAGCTACAAATCTTGGGAGCCAACTTAAACAAAACTATAAACTCCACAGAATACTCTGAGCACTAAGCAGGCTCAGGTATGAGGACCACAATTCAGAGGCAAATTGTGATGCTGTCTAAAAACAAGTGAGCAAAGGGAAAAGAAAACACTCTTTTATGATTATGGACCTGTATTATACAGAATTTCAAAGCATCCTCACCCTGGCGAAGACTGAAGGATTAATGAATACATTTCTAAATAACTCAAAAGGCAAAAGAAAATTTCAAAGTTTGTTCTTAGGAAACTTCAGTCTTACAACTTTTGATTTCCAGTAAAAGCTCATTGCTTCTGTTTTCTAGAGGCTGGTATATGACTCTATTTTTCAGAAGTCTTGATTAAAATAAAGTTTGCACCCCATGCAAACATCAAGAGGTAGCAGCCAGGAACAGAAATTGGCCTATTAGAGTTTGTTCATAATTTATGAAGTAAAAAATATGCCTTTAAATAATGAAAAATTAACTTCCAACATACTCAGTTATCTTTTGAAAAAGAGCACTGGGAAATAAAAAGATCAGACAAATACTTCCTAGTAGTTATTTCCGAAAGCTATGCTATTTTATCAGTCACAAAATACTCCTATTACAGGACAGCTACATTGGTATGCCACCACCATATACAGCATAGTTTGCATTTAAACTTCATAAACTGGCTCTCTTCTCTAGTGAGAATGTCTTTCCATTTCCACACTGATGTGATAATGACTTATAGTACACTATGGACAGCAGCCTGTATAATGTTCCCGCTGGTCTTTGCTTCTTCGTGGTCAATTCTTTCGAGATTCCCCTTCTCTAGGAGTAGCTGCTGGGCGTCATTACCCAGTTCCAACAGGATATGGGAAAATGGATGCTATTTTTTAAAGGTTCACTTCTGTCTTGCTATTACTCTGTTGGAACCTTGGTCTGGGGAAGAAGCAGCCGCCTGGGTGAGTTCACAATGCACTGATCCAGGTGGCAAAGAACTTGTATTTCTGAAAGCCAGCCAGGACCTGAGACCTACCTATAGCCTCACAGTCATGCACAGATCTAGTTCTTCTGAGGCATCAGAATACTAAGAAGAACTGGACATCACTTGTTACATCTTCCCCTGTCAAGGCATCAGCCTGGCTAGCATCCCAATTGAAGCTTAGGAGAGCCTGTAAAGTCAGAGGTGCCCAGTAAGTGACTCTCGGGTCTTCTGAACACAGCAGCTGGGAGACAACAAATACCCCCAATGCCTGCTGTAGTAAGGTGCTGTGTTCTGGGGGTAATCTGTGCCAACAGATAGCTAATTCTTACAGTACAACAAATGCCCCCAATGCCTGCTGTAGTAAGGTGCTGTGTTCTGGGGGTAATCTGTGCCAACAGACAGCTAATTCTTACAGTACAACAAATGCCCCCAATGCCTGCTGTAGTAAGGTGCTGTGTTCTGGGGTAATCTGTGCCAAGAGACAGCTAATTCTCACAGTACAACAAATGCCCCCAATGCCTGCTGTAGCAGGTGCTGTGTTCTGGGGGTAATCTGTGCCAACAGATAGCTAATTCTTACAGGACCATATCCTTGAAGCACTGGTCATCGAGACCATGGCATTTCTTTTTAGCTGAGAGCTTAAGGGCAAATTACCTAGACTGCCAAAGGCTAGTCACATAAAGACTGATACATAACCAGCCAGATGTAAGCTGTTTATGAAAATGAGGACTGCAGGGGAAAATGGATTATGCCACTTGGAAGATATTTCTAAATCTCACTGCTTCTTATAAAGAGAGAATTTATAAATGTGAATAGTCTCAGAAACACTTACCATATATATAGGAATATATGTATAAGCATCATACATAAAATTAGACTAAAATATTAAATTGCCAATAGTTATTACTTTTGATAATTGTTCTACAATGAACAAATCTTGGATGATAAGGAGGAAAAAAATCTATATTGCATATCCAACTCCAAAATGGAAATGAGCGAGAGAGCGAGAGCGTGTGTAGGGGCTTTCTGAGACAGGGTCATGGTGCTCCGGTGGGCCTCAAACCCACTATGCAATGCAGGCTGGCCTTGATCTCCAGATCCCCCTGCCTTGGTGCCCATGTGCTGGGATTACGTGCATGAATCACCATGCTTAGCAGGTCCATCATTTCAAAAGCAGGCATAAGCAGGTAAATGTGGACAGTTTGGAGATAGACTGTTAATGTTCTGGCTCAGCCTTTTCTGGGGCTTACCCCAATCAGACTCTTAGAAAAACGGGATAATGCCATGACTGTCCCTCACAGGGCCATGGAAAAGATTCAGTCAGTGAATTCTTGTAAAGCTCCTAGCACATGGCCAAGTCCTGCCTGATGGTTCACAATTAGCACCTCAGTGGGAATGTTTCCAAACACAGCACCAACTTTCTTCATTAAATGACATTTTTTTTCACTCAGAACCGGAAGATACTAGTGTGTGTTTCTTTGTGGCAATGGGACGTACCTCGGTTCCGGTTTGGGTGGGCCCGGGACTTTCTTCTTCTTCTTCTTCCGTTTCTCGCTGCCCAGTTTGTCGTCATGCAGCAGAGTATCTGAAGGGAAGTAAGTCAGCTGCTCTCTCAGCTTCTTCCGTATCTTCTTCTTAATCTCCTTCGCCATCTCCTCAGCTACCTGGTGCTGATAGGCTTCCATCAGATCTTCCTTCCCGGAATTCCCTTCCGGTTCAGCCTTCTCTCTTCCATCACTTCCATCATCCTCCGCCTGTGACTTGTCTGCATCTTTCTGCTGGGCACAATCCACCTTCTCTGGAGTTTCTTCTTCCATGTCGTGTGTGGTCTGGCTCATTTTATCTGGCTTTTCTTGCTTGCCTTCCTCTACACTACCATAGTCCTCAGGGTCGGCAGCTGCTGGTCACGTGCTCCTCAGCGCTCTAGGGTAGCAGTGTTAGTGTGAGTTCCTTAGATATCCTGAAGAATGCTCTTAAGATTGCAAGCTAGGAAAAGAAAACATAACGAGAAATGTTCCGTTCAGCATAGTTTAAGTGCTTAGAGGTAAAAATAAAGATTGTGACCAACACTATTGAGACAATTAGGTTTTTTTTTTGATAGAATACTTCTCTAGAGCATCTGATGAGCACTCTCAATTTCTATTTGTAGATTTAGATGAGAAATCTCTAAAAGTGATTTCAGATTAACTGAGTTAGTTAATATTGATAATAGTACTTAAGGACTTTACAGAAATAAATTAATCGTTGCTATTTTCTTATTGGTAGAGTGATCCAAATTTTAATTTGGCTAAGATATGTTTGAGAAAACTCATCAAACAACTATGGAGTATAAAACATTTCAAGTTTCCCAAGGAAAAAAACACATGGGTTATTAATCTTGCCTCATAATTATACTCTCAAGTCAAGACTACACAGAAAGGTCATCCTGCATTTTTTCCAACTATATCACTGACGTGCTAAATATTAACTAGCAATTCAAGTGGCAAATCAATAAACACATACCTCTTTGTCAAATTTATTTAAGAGAATTTTTAATAAAAAACAGCAAAGGGCTAAAATTCATAAAGGAATGTTACCAGTTAGAAAGTAAGTTAGAGAAATTCTCTTAAGAATTTAAAAATAAAGAAGATTACATTCATATTCAGCCATTAAAAAAAGAAATTTACAGGAAAATGGATGGAACTGAAAAATATACTGGATGAGCTAACGGGCCCAGAAAGGCAAACACTATATATTCTTTCACATGCAGACCCTAGCTTTGAATGATTAGATCTGTGGGTTTAAGCTGGAGTGTCTGTAGAGGCCAGGGAGCAAGAAAGAGGCCATGGCTTCGGAAGAGGTAGCAAGGATGCAATGATGTAAATACAGGAGCGAAGACAGTAAAGCATGTAGGGGGAAATCCTAGACATGAAAAGGTTTAAATACAACTGAGAGAAAGATGTGGGAAGAAGAGAGAGTTAACAAAAATTAAACTAACAGTTTGTATGAAAAAGCCATGTAGAATTGTATTACTTGGGCCCTAGAGAACTGCCTCTTTCCTAAACCAGTATATATTTGGTTTTTCGAGACAGGGTTTCTCTGTGTAGCTTTGCGCCTTTCCTGGGACTCACTTGGTAGCCCAGGCTGGCCTCGAACTCACAGAGATCCGCCTGGCTCTGCCTCCCAAGTGCTGGGATTAAAGGCGTGCGCCACCACCGCCCGGCTAAACCAGTATATTTTCTAATTAAATTCTAATACTTATCCTTATACCCACAGATAAGTATACTTCTCATCTCTTATCAAAGCTCCTCTTTGCAGCAAATAGAAACCATTATAGAAATCTACAACTGGTCAAAATGCTGAGAACAACTGACCATGAGGTATGCAACCTCCACTGACATCTGTATAATGCAATTCCTACATCTAAGGCTCATGAACATCACAGATGGGATGTAAGAGCCAGGGCACAAGGGCATCTGCTTTGTGATATTCTTCTCAAAGAATGACAGGGAAGCTCAAGAAATCTCAAGAATACATTTGCCTAAACAGGATCAGCACAGTGCCAATAGCAGCTGATAAACCAGTGTAGATGGAGGAAATCTCAGAAGGCACTACCCTTGACCAAGAGCTACAAGCAGTCAATGGCTGCTAAGAGAGAGAGAATCAGTCTTCTTTGGGGGTAAAGCCCGACAGGCCCAGTCTCAAGGGGTCAACACTCAACTCATATACATATGAGCAACACTAAGCAGACTCAGCATGTGTGCGTGTGTGTGTGTGTGTGTGTGTGTGTGTGTGTGTGTAATAATAATGAAAGAAGGGGTCATGAACTTGAAAGGGAACAGAGTAGAGGGTGTGGAGGAGACATGGGAGGATCTGGAGGAGGACGGGAAAGGTGGGACTACAGAACTTACACAAAAAATTCTTAAAAATATAGAAATTTTAAATAATAAAAAAAAGAGCTCGGAAAGGAGGGACCCTATATGCTACTCCCAGAAATCACATTTTTAAATGAAAATCCCAGTGTGAAGTACAGAATATCTCCCTGTGAGCTGTTGACCATCTAAGTCCCAGAAGCTCCCAAATCAATGCGACTACTGCCATTGTTTTTGGTTGTCCACCAGAACGAGATGGTCTAATGCTTCTGCTGAAGACCCCACACACTTTGGTTACAGGATACAGAGGAATTAGGCTGGAACTGAGCTGGAAACATCCTTTCTGGTGGCGAGTGCGTACAATACCGGAAGATGCTGTGCTGTACCATGAACCTGGCAGGTAAGATGTGCCATGGTGCAGTAGTGTCAGGACTATTTTGGCGGTAAACAAACACTTCTGACTGGATTTGAAGTCTGCTCCATGGGAGGGAATACAGCTTGGGACTCCAAATCTGGTCAAAAAATGTACAGCTAGAGGTCAAAGGCCACTAGGTCAGGGGGACCCACTACTGTTGTTTTTGCTAAAGGGGCATGTCAAACTGCCTTCTACAAATTTATGTTTACACTCTTGGAGTAGCATGGCTCTCAGCCTAGAGCAGTGATGTCATTTTTCTTTTTTTTATAATTTTTTTATTAAAAATTTTTTTCTTTACTTTTACATACCAACCCTTGCTCCCCCTCCCTCCCCTTCTCCTGCTCCCCTAAACCTGCCCTCATCCCACCCCTATTCCTTTCTCATAGAGGGTAAGGCCTCCCTTGGGTAGTCAACACAGGCTGGCATACCAAGTTGGGGCTGGACCTAGCCCCTCCCCCATGCATCAAGGCTGAGTAAGGCATTGCACCATAGGGAATGGGCTCTAAAAAGCCAGTTTGTGTACCCAGGATAAGTCCTGGACCCATTGCCAGGGGACCCACAAACACATGAAGCCACACAACTTTCACCCACACTCAGAAGGCCTACTTCAGTCCCATGCAGGCTCCCCAACTGTCAGTCCAGAGTCCATGAGCTCCCACTAGCTTGATTCAGCTATCTCTGTGGTTTTTCCCATCATGATCCTTCCTCCCTCTCTTCAACTGAACTCCAGGATCTTGGCCAAGTGCTTGGCTGTGGGTCTCTGCATCTACTTCCATCAGTCACTGGATGTAGGTTCTATGATGACAATTAGGGTAGACACCAATCTGAGTGCAGGGGAAGGCTAGTTCAAGCACCCTCTCCACCATTGATATGAGTCTTGGCTGGGGAAAATCTTGTGTGTTCCTGAGGTTTTTCCCTAGCTGCAGATTTCTCCCCACAGTGATGTCATTTTTCAATGGGTGATGATGCATGTATAGACTCATACCCAGTCAAAGTGCTGTAAGTAACTGTTAAACATTCAGCCCTATTATCAGGAACATTTCAATAATCCTCTCCAAGACCCAGGCTGTATCTCTGTACTACAAGTGCAAAGAATATAAGAGCTGGTGGATGGAGAGGTGTGCCACGAACTGCTGCTTCAAAATTTGGTATGACTGCCCCAATTATGAAACACATCTGCACAGGAAGGGGCCCTTCAGCAGTCCATCATGGATTGGGGAGATGCTCATGGACCCTTACCCCTTTCCTAGGAGCTACTGTCAATTAATGGTTCATATGGAAGGGAGCATCATTTTCTTCAGTGGTATAACCATTAACTAATCCATGCTCCAGCAAATAACTCATACAAAGAAATCTAATTAACTAATAAAGGGACACATGAAAGTAGGAGATGACTAGTTGGGAATAAAAATGGGTTCAGGAGGAGAAAAGGAAGAATACAAAAATGTAAAGCAGAAGAGACTAAAAACAAAAACTGACAAGAACAGGAAGGGACAAAAGAAAGCTCCAGAGCTGGGTGGTAACACATACTTATAACTCAGGACTTTGTAGGCAGACAGAAAGCTCATGAGTTAGAAGCTTGGGCCACACAGTGAGACCCTGTCAAAACCAACAAGCAAGCAATAAAAAAAAAAACAATAAAAAAAAAAAAACACCAAAACCAAACAAACAAAAAAAACCCACCACCATAGGAGAAAGCACAGTTCATAGGGAAAGACTTTACAGGGTAGTTTTAGAGAAGCCCTGAGACCCATGGTCTAGAATGCTGAGGTGGGGGATCATCCTGAGAATGAGCACCTGAGGAAATGGACTGGAGTTCCCACCACCATTGGATTAAATAGACACCTTTACCTGAGGACTAGTAGCTGTAGGAAATGAACTAGAGTTCCCACCACCATTGGATTAAGTAGACACCTTTACCTGAGGATTAAGTAGCTGTAGGAAATGGACTGGAGTCCCCACCACCATTGGATTAAGTAGACACCTTTACCTGAGGACTAAGCAGCTATAGGAAATGGACTGGAGTCCCCACCACCATTGGATTAAGTAGACACCTTTACCTGAGGACTAAGCAGCTGTAGGAAATGGACTGGAGTCCCTACCATCATTTGGATTAAGTAGACACCTTTACCTGAGGACTAAGCAGCTGCAGAAAATGGACTGGAGTCCCCACCATCATTTGGATTAAGTAGACACCTTTCTCTGAGGACTAAGCAGCTGTAGGAAATGGACTGGAGTCCCCACCACCATTGGATTAAGTAGACACCTTTCCCTGAGGACCAAGCAACTGTGCACTGAGAGAAAGGGTACCACAGTTCAGGTCGATAAACCCCCCACAAACAGAAGCACATGATGCTAAAAACAACCAACAGATGATTCTCATCTGAAGATGGGTAGCCTGAAAAGTATGAAACAATACAGAAAAGCAGAACAATGAAGGTGAGCTATCAATGTATGGAAACAAGCACGAACACAAGAGGAAAATGAATCGTAGTTGTGGGTCTCTGTTAATCACCACCTACTGAAAGAAGCTTTTCTGATCAAAGCTGATCAGTGCCCTGATATGCATATAGCACTATATCATGAACTTAAAATAAGTAAGATATTGAAGAACTCTAAAAAACTGGACAAAAAGAAGTAAAAATGATGGAAATAAACTTTTGAGTGACAGAAATAAAAGCTTAACAAATGTTAAAAACTCAAAATTGACAAAACCCACA